ACCAAAATGCTTCAAACAAGTAAGAGTTTCTCTGTATTATCGCCTCGAACTGACATATATACATCTTTCATTTGAATAAGTATTAAAAGCTCTATTGGCTCCTACATTCGGGTTTTGATAGGCGAGTCTCCCCTGAACCGTTTTTTCCATATTTTTGGCTTATGTGCGCTTTTATTCGAAACCTAAATGTTTCGGAACAGAGTATCGAGAGCATTGGATAATTTTTAAATCGGTACCGAATATCGATCAATACTTAAAAGTATTGACTCAGCACATCACTACTGTTGTCATCTGGACTGTGACGTCAACAAAACAGCTGATTCTGTCAAATTCACTGAGAGCCGATTAGCGGTGTTGCCATCGGCGACACCTTCTGTATTCTCTCCACCCAAGAATGATAGAATACATCGCTGCATCGTGCTCTCCACCGTGTCTTCATGCCAACTGACGCTATTTGGAAATGACTAGTGAAGCTAATTCCTTCTCCACTTGGTCTTTCCATCGCAGTGGGGGCCTCTCTCTTCCTCCGCTATCACCATTGGGTTCCAAGTTGCATACGTTCAGAGCTGGGCCGTCGGAGTCCATTCGAACGGCATGGCCAAGCCAGCGCAGCCGCTGTATGTTAATTCGCTGCACTAAGTCAATTTCGCTTTAATAAATAAAGCTCATCATTTCATCATCGTTGTCCAAGCTCCAGCCCTATACCAACACGGGCATGATGAGTGACTTATAGAGTGCGATTTTCGTACGTCGAGAGGATTTTACTCCTGAATTGTCTACTCAGTCCAAAGTAGCAAGAGTAATTTTGCGTTGGATTTCGGCGTTAATGCTGGTTCCCAAGTAAAAGAAACTCTCTACTTTCTCGAAATTATAACTGTCAACGGTGACGTGAGCGCCAAGGCGTAAAGCGCTGACAGTTTGTTTGATGACATGAGATACTTCGTCTTGTCCTCATTGACCACCAGACCTAATAGCTTTCCTTCCTTATCCAACTTGGACGTCGGAGTTCTTGCTGCCGAGGATGTCGATGTCATCAGCATACGCCAGAAATTGCACGCTCCTATAAAAAAAAATTTCCTGAGCGGTTCAGTTCTGCAGCTTTTATTATCTTTTCCAACATCGGATTAAAGAAGTCACATGAAAGAGTCACCCTGTCTGAACTCCGCTTGGTAGCAAACGTCTCCGAGAGGTCTTTCCCAATTCTGACGGAGCTGAGAGTATTGGTCAACGTCATTTTACACAGACATCAGTTTCGCGATGATGCGAAAATCCGGATATCGTGGCGTATACGCAACTTCTTTTAGTGTTGTCGAAAGTGGCTTTGAAGTCGACAAATAGGTGGACGGTGTCGATCCTTTTCTCGCAGGTCTTTTTCAAGATTTGGCGTATTGCGAATACCTGGTCTATGGTATGATACGATATGTCGGGGAAGCATTCGTATGTGTGCTCCAAGTGTTTATAGAAGCTATCCTTGGACACTTCGTACTTCTCTTCCGTCGTGGCGTGGGCGCAAATCAGCGAGGTATCGAAAAATCTTGCTGCAATGCAGATTGTGGCGAGACGTTCGTCCACCGAGGCGAAAAGCACGGAGTCTTTCTCCCACCATAAATACAACACTGAATTTGCGCTTCTTTACATGGCAGCTGTAGTAGACGTCGCAAGGCCCCAGGCATTTCTTGCTATGTCCTTACGAGGAAATCAACCAGCTGGGCAGAAGCACCTTCCCGGGATAGTCCAGGTGCATGCCCTCAAATTGTAGTCCTTTAAACGTTTGCCGTGGTCATCATCAAAAAGGAGTTCTCACCCGTGGGTTTGCTGAATTTCTTCACTGGAAGGGATTTTACGTAGCGCACAACCCATTGCTGGGACGGAGGTAGTTTAGCGAGCCGCTTGCTCCTAGACAGACGCCAGCTTGCAGCCGCACTTACGGCGGAACAGACGCTGCAGACTTCAGTATTAACCTTATATTATTGAATCATGGGTGATTTCCATGTATAACTTTTTTCTTTACAAAATCACGTCAAATTTAAAAAACCGCTTCTTCGAATTTCTTTTCTCCAAATTCTCTGCTTAAAATCCCCACAAGGGTTGCCAAGGGACCGCGTTTACTACCTTCCGACTAAGCCCATATGATTTTCAGCCACCGAACACGCTCTAAGCCAAGTTTGAGTTGACCATTAAAACCGGTCTGCAGACGCAGATATGCATTTAAGTATTTTCGCTTGCCACTTTGAGTAGTTTACGTTAAGACATTGAACGAAATGAATGTAGCGGTGGCGGCATGAGGATTACTCGATTGCTGTTTTCGCGCTCGTAGACACAAATATTTATGTATTATACCTTTAGCAGTGCGTAAGTGTGTTTATTTATATATGGGTGTATGTGTGTGTAAATACCAGCCTATGAAAAATTTTACAAATTAAGTATTGGAATTTTTTATGCTTCAAATTGTGCGCCTGCGTTTTTTTGTGATAACTCACAACAACTTTCGCATATAGTGAAATTTATGCAATGCTGAATAGTAAACATTTTACAAATGTAACGAACGATATTATAGAAATTATAAGTGAAATTGTTTAAATGAAACACACAAGTGTGCCTAAGTGCATGTTTGCGTGTGTATGTAGATATTTAATTCGTAGGCTTAAGACACCAACCAGTGGGAATCAATAACCTATATACACATATACATATGTATATATGTATGTATTTGCAGAGAATTTTTTGCGACGACTTTTATACAACATTCGTCAAATGGATTATCAATTTACATACGAAAATTTGCATAAAAAATATTCACATTTTGAAAATATGAAACACAGAAATTTAAATTAATCCTACATATGTGGCTGAACTTTGTAAATACATAGTTTTAAGAAAATTATGTGGCCATTACGCATGCGCATGAAGTCAATTTTTTAGTGGCAATCTAGCGAAAAAAGTCTCAAGTAAACAGTTAATGAAGGCCAATGGCATTGCTGGTAACTTACATATCTTGCGATATTGTTCGTGTCAAACTTCGTTTTACGCAGTATGCAGTGGGAAATATGTACCGACATGAGTTTATATTTTTTTTCATACATACATTATTATGGGTATTGTATGTGCATATTTTAACTTGTATTTGATATGCATAACACATGCCATGCAAAGTTAAAAGTATGAAGTAAAAAAATTCAATACAAATAAATAAAAAAACGTGAACTAGGAAGCCATTCTACGTGCAAAAATGTTGTTAATTTTGTGGTGTTTGAAAAGCTGAAAAAATCTGAAAGAGTGCTGAATGCAACATTCGGTTCGGCTTATTTATTGATATCGTTATCGATCTTTTTTATAAGTTCCGTTATCAATAACATTTGTGGTATAAACAATGATATTACCAATATCAATTCCTTAATATATTTATCGATATTGTTATCGATAGCTGTATTTGTTGTAACGGTATATTTATGGAGATAGCTATAAATGTATTGACTAGTCGATACGTTATTGTTAGGTTATCAATAAAAATTTCTACTCAATATCGCCATTCATATTGTTACTTTATCGATTTCGTACTAATTTTCCAAAGTTTCTTTAAGAAGGTATTTTAAAAGATACTCTTCTTCCTCTTAAATTTTTCTAGTACAGAAATCATTCTTCATATTCGAAGTCAATAATATTTTATTAATATCAGTTTCAGCCTATCTATCGGCATTTTTATCGGCAAATTTTTAAAGATATCGTTGTCGATAAAATCTTCAGTATATTTGAGGCCACTTCTGCTCCCACGTCTTCATTTAGACCTTTAGACTTTTGTTGCTCATTTTCGGCAATTTCTCTTTTGATGTTGCCCTTCGCGTTCACACAGAGTACAAAATTGTTGTTGTCAGCTGAGAACGGCCAACTAGAATTACTCAGACGAACTAGAGCACAAAGCGTGTTGCCCGAGCACGAGCAACTCGGTGCCCTTAACCCTTCCTCGTCACTCCCTCTCCCACAAGTAACGAGTTGCCGCGACAAAAGTTTCTCTGTCTGAACCTAGTCTTATTCATATTTACATTAGTTATTCTCATATGCTTATCGATATCATTCATACCTTGATTTTAAGATCTTAAGATGATCTTAAGATGATTTTGACCCTGTAGTGTCTTTTAATATCCCTATGTCCCGGGACCCATATGATGCTGACCTTGAATACGGCGCTACCATTGTTTAGAGTTGCGAAGCATTCTGTGCAACCTTTGATCTTAGCATTACCGCTTTCATTGATTGGATGACCGTCTGACTATAAGAGTTGATATTAATCGTGGTGATTGAAAACTTAACCGGCCATTTTCCGATTGGAAGCCTTTACATAACCCCACGTCTTTACTGTAGCTGCTGTATGGAATATGATGAGGTGGAATCACCTCAGTATATGCTACTTGGCTGTCCAGCTCGCGCGGGCATAAGTTTTGAACACATTGAGCCACACTCATTTCTAACTGTTGACGGGATTTCAGGAATAGATATATCCGCTTGCGGAGCGTTATTGGGGGCACGCAGGAATTTTCGGTCACCAACACTTCCTTCCTTTTTTCATTCCTATTTGTCGCCTATCCTAATCCTTTTGTATAAAGGTGACCATCGCCGGCTTGCGAAAATTTTACAAAAGTAGTAAATATCAAGCCATGTGGATTAATCGAACCTTTTTTTTACAGATTCCGACGAAATCCAATTTCTTTGAGGACCAAGAATCACGATGCTACCAAATACAATTAGTCAGGTAAGCACAAATTTTACGTAATTAGTAAAGACCGCTTGTAAGGTTTGCTCTTTACAGGATCGCGGCAAAGATTGGACCAGCCTTCACGAGGCTGCTGCCAATGGTAATGAGGAAATGATAAAGACGCTACTCGCTGGCAATTCCGATACGACAGCAAAGGAGACCAAATTGGGAAATACACCACTACATGAAGCAGCATCGCGCGGTTTAAGTCGCGCCGTAAAATTGCTTAGCACGCCCAAGATTACGGCCAAGCCAACTTCAAAGAGCAAGCAAAAAAATGAAGCAGCTAAACAGAATCGGGGTCCTACACAAAACGCGTTGTTGAGTATACAGAACTTCGCCGGCTTCACCGCCTTACATTTAGCTGCACAAAATGGACACAATCAAAGCTGTAGAGAATTACTACTGGCTGGCGCCAGTCCAGATGTTGAGAATTATGTAAGACAATGTTTTCGCCCAAAGCGACTCAACTTTTATAACCCAACTTTTTTTCTAGTATGGCGACACAGCATTACACACTGCCTGCCGGTATGGACATGCAGGTGCCGCACGCATACTCATCTCCGCCTTTTGCGATGTGAACAAGAAGAATCTCAATGGTGACACGCCCCTGCACATAACCAGCGCCATGGGTAGGCATAAGCTGTCACGTATCCTCTTGGAAGCTGAATGCGAAATTAATACGCGTAATTCACAATGCGAGACACCGCGCGATATAGCGATACGCAAAGGTTTCGGCAAAATATTGGACATCTTAGACAATCCGCATCGCATACGCAATAAGAAAGCCAAAGCGCCGCTGACAGGTGAGGAAGCAGACAAAACGAAAGCGGTACCGTGCACGTCAAAGTCACATTCGAATGAGGTCAGTTGGTCGCCATATGGCTGTCATTATTTTCCCGATATGTGCGCCTTCCCGTCACCCAAACTCGAGACGCTGCCCAAGGAGCCACTGAAACGCGGCGAACAGTACTATTTGGATTTGGCGGGGCACATACGCAAAGGACCCATCGGTATTGGAAATATATGCTATTGCGGTCCTTTCTTCAAGCATATCGAGGATAAAATAAATTCAAATAAGCGGCATTTGCGTAAGTATGTGCACAATGCTAAGGAGCATTTGGATGACAAGGTGCAGGCGCTGGCTGCGCGCACTAATCATCAAATTGAGAAGCTGACACGCACCATGATCGCCGATCGCGTGGAGTGCGAAAATAGACGTTTGTATTTGGAGAATTACTTAAAGCGTGGTGGTCCCTTGCGGCTAACAACTGACGTAACGTCGAAGGGAAGAGAGACGCGTGAAATGCACGACACGTTGAAGCGCTGCCGAAGCCTAGAACTGCTTGAAAAGGTCGATATGTCGGAAGGCAAAATGGCAAACTCACGAAGCTTTGATCTGCTCGATGCCAATGCGAATGACACAGCTGGCATGCCGCATAGGGACCAAGTGACGTGTTGTTCACATGCTGCTGAAATGCAGAATCATCATTTGAGTGAGGAGTCAAACAACGAGTTCTACGATGTGTCCAAGCGTTTAGGCAGCTTGCTGGCGAAGACCAGCACATTTTTGAAGGTGCCTGCGCAAAGCGTACAAAACAATGAACAGCCGCCCGACAAGTCAATCACTGCCGCATTAGGCATCGATACGGACGACGAAGCGCTTTGTACGCGCGTACAAAATATGCATATGAGTCCATCGATCAGCGAGGCATCCAATGCAACGCCGGCGCAGTTGAGTTCCGAAGCTGGCGCGATTTCCAGCCCCGATTACAATTGCAATTTCCGCACAAAGCATGGCGCAGCGAAACGGAAAGCGATTGCTGCGACGCCAGAAGTAGTAACTACCGCCTCGTCAACGGCTTCGCCACCTGAACGGTCGCACAGAGATAAGCCGATTACCGAGCGGCAGCTAGAGTATTTATATGATATACAGAAGCGTGGCAGCGTCATACAGAATGTGATAAGCGCACTGCGCAAGAGTCATCAAAGGGCGGACATCTTGACGGATGTGAAAACACGCAATGAGTCAGAGTACGTACACGAGGATAAATTGGGTTACAAAGATGAGCTGTTTCAGGTGCAACGCTTGGCCGAAAACGATAGTAAGGAGGCGGCGATGTTGAAAGAGGTCGGACTGCCGCTTGATATTCACGGCACGTCCGTTGGAGAACCACATAAATTCGCGCTGAAGTCCTTCTACGACAACCAGTACATGCAAACAGCAGGTGAACAGGCGACAACGTCACCATACATCATGCAAGACACGCATGCGGCACACTATCAGGATTCCTCCTACACCGAAAGTCATCCGGGTGAAGACTGCCTGGACTCGTTGGAAATCGCGCAACAGGAACAGCAAATCCAACTGTCTGTAGCCACAAATAATTCACCACTCTATGCGCAACCCGCCGTCGGCAGGGGCTCTACACCCTCACACGCCACTGACTCGCCAGATTCACAGAATTATGTATTCAAGACCAATTACTGGCCGGAAAGGTATGTGCCGAAAGATGCCTACTTTCATGATCTGTCGCAGCGCAAATTTCGAGTAGCACCGCCAAATGGCGACCCGACAGCAGCAGCACAAACAACAAAAACAAACGAGATTTCCGGCTATACGAACGCCTTGCCGAAATTTAATGTTGCGCAAGCCGTAAAAAGCATAGAGAACCTTAATGGCCAAGTTCTAGCGAATACGTATATACGAGATCCGACGGTTAGGAGTAGCATAAATGCGAAATCGCAAGCGGTGTCCACAAGAGGCGTTAATTCAAACCAAAACATGGCGCCTGCTGGGCTACATTTAGACCAAAGTGGTTGTGAGGAATGCACTGGCGCGGTTTGCAATGCAAATTGTGCTTACAAAGAACTGCCGAATGGAAGGCAAGCGGTGGTGGCAATTGCACAGACAGCAAATTTGAATGAAACCACTGTCGTTACAACAGCGGCGATCCATAATGGCGGCAATTACGGTTATAGTCGAGACGAATCGGGTGCACTCGGCGGCAAAGGCAGGCTACCTGCAACGGGTTACTATGCGAGTAATGTGTCTAGTTTGGTCTGATTTTTATTGCTAATAAGACTTTAGCTTAAATGTAAATAGCTGGGACCGTAACGGTTATGATCTTTAAAATAAAAATCATAATTTTTTTTTACGATCATATTATAACCGTTATTTTTAGATTTAATTTTTGAGATCATAGAATGTTTAAATCGTTCACACAATAAGTTTGCCGGCGTTCAGTGCATCTCAGGGGTTTCGGCCTGAAAAGCGCTAAATTTGCTAAGAAGCTGGGTGTGGGATTCTCTTTAAAATTTTCTTTATAGCCAAAAATGTGTATGCATTTCAAAAATACTCATTTATAATGGAGAGAAAAATATTTGTATATAACTGTTGCATTTATTAGTATTAAGTATTTAATCCAAGCCACGAACTTCCTATTCTTCTCACAATTTAATCATATAAGAACTTACATAGGTATGTATATAAGAATTTGCACTTCTTTATACATATGTATGTATGTATGCGTGTACTAAAATAGAATTAACATTGAAATAAATTGGAAAATAAAAGATTCTTTCATACACGCTCGGCTCAAGGAAAGCGCGACAATGTGAAAGAGAAAGCAATAAGTGGCTAACAAAAGATGCAAATCCAGAGAAGCAAACAAGCACTAATGTACATATGTATGTATTTATATAAGGAAAATAAGTTTGTACATATTTATGTATGTATTTATATGGGTACAAAATACATTTATTAAAGATGATATTGAAGATGTTATATTTTGATTTTAATGTCAACTGGAGCACAGTAATTCATCCAATCTAAACCGAGTTAATAGGCTTTATTATGGTTTTTGGTCGTCGACGTAATTTTTTCGTAAAAAAAATTACTCTCATCGGTCCAACGTGGTCTACACTTACCACAGTATTTTCGCGAGGAAGACTTTTCCGCAAAAATACTGTGGCCAGTTAGCTGGAGTTGGACTTACCAGGGTTCTTTTTGACGAAAAAATTACAACGACGTCGACGATAACTATAATAGGGCCGAATATTTAGCACATAGAATCAAGATACATATAATCTTCGTGAAGAGTGAAGAAGCCATTGTAAAGCAGCTCGAAGAGTGGACGGTTGGAGTGAGAAGCACGCTCGGTCGCTTCATTGCGACAGAGGGATGCTAAGCGGTAGCTCGAAGCGCACCAAGTAGAAAGTTTCTGGTAGTCCAAACGTATCCAACACAGACTTGGCCGAAAAGGCAGGGATGCTTAGAAAGAGAAAAGTCCTTTTCGAAAAAATTGTTTAGCGAAGTCGCTAAGCGGGCGAACCATTGAACGCGGTAGGGAAAATCCGTGACCTCCGCCATGGTGCGAGAGTGTCGAATGACAACACGGGATACTCAATTGCGTGGTGTGCGCCGACGAGTAATCGGCTGTTGTTGTTGTTATTGTTGTAACAACATATAAAACCTCCAAAAAGTTTTGGGAAATGATGCGCGGATGACAGTCCCTGGCTAAATAAAAATCTGGGTGGTTCCGGTACCATAAATCTGAATATTATAGGAACGAATGGTCGGCTGCCTGACATATTGCTGGGTATACCTGCTTTGAGAGGAGGTTTGGAAGGAAGTCAAGAGGGAGCATCCCTAACTGAAAACTTATTAGGTTTGAAAAGTCAGAAGGATTCTATCGACCAACGCATGCCGAAAAGTCGTTGGCAGTAAGTTCAGGTAGGCAGTTTTGAAAGTCTTTAGACCGGCTTCGAAGACAATGGCCTGCCTATTCCCGAGGTGCTGGTTAACGGTGTAATGCGCTTACTAGAAATGACACTTACACAATCCGTACTAGAAATGATCCCTCCAGGAATATGAGGTGATCAAAGTAGGAAGTTATACAGCTGCGGGAATCTTTCAGAAAATTCACCTAATGCAAGGGAAGAATGATAAATTCAGCCTTATTAATAGTTGCAGATAGTATTGAACAGTCTTTCTCGCAGACTACTTTGACTTCTGACTTCTCGCTCGATCGCATCAGATAACCTTACTATCAAGCTTAGTTGGGCAATCAACCGTTCTGCTTCTGCGCAGATGGGCGAAAACCTTTAAATGCCAGAATAATACATTTTTCTCATTAAGGTTTAACAGGCGGTGGGGGCTTATGTTGCTATTAAAACTGAAAAAGTCGTAACTCTCGTTACAAGTGGGTAATATAACTGGACATTGTCCGTTCGAAATTCATGCGATAAGATTCAATCTCAACTCAAGCCTCTACTATGTACTGTAACTGTAACTTTTCTTCAAATTACGTGTGAGGAAAGGTCAGCAACATGACGAGAAAATCTTACTCCTAACCATCTGTCGCATAGCCCTTAATTACTTTTCAATAGCTTTTTTCCCTAAACAGCAAATACGCAAAAACACATGTAGTCAAAAAGAAAGAGGCGATCACTTACTCCACTGCTTGGACATACTGACTCGTACTTATGTATGTACATACATAAATAAATACATATGTTTCAATCGAATTCTTAAGTGCTGTGTTGTAAGTTTAATTAAGCATTCTTGACAATATGCTTAGCCGTCGATCGGCATGACCGATGATGCTCATCTTTTGGGGCTACACTTGGTGGTATCATCGTTTGAATTCAATTCAATTTATGAGCAATTACTTCATTAAATTTAACTTGAGCTATCTATACATGTGTTTGTACGTATGTACGTATGTAAGTAGTACATGTGACGTTAATGTTTGGGGTGTTGTTATACTTAGTTATTGTTAGTTATTGCTGTTTTTGTAGAATATTTGATTTAGATGTGTAGACAATAATAATTATATCTACACTTGTATTTGAAGCATAAGATTAAATGCTTATTTTATTTCTTTGATCTCGACATTGATTGCGCATGCTTAAAAATCGCTCAACTTTTTCCAAAACTAAATTTGTGTACTTTTTCAAGTCTTAATCAAATTATCTCCTAGCAAGCATCTCGAAAGAACTAAACCTATAGCCATTTGGGGCAAGTTGAAATGGTCGATAGGCCCAACGAAAATGAGGTATACTTTAGAAAGCAACTGGACTGTAGATGCCAGTTCCGCAAGGCGAACGTCACGATGAATATTCTACAAGAACAATTGGTGGGTATATGTATTTATCTCTGACCGATTTGACGTGAATTGGCCAAAGACATTGTGCGATTTGACCCTGCCATACTATTTCTAATGGAGTTTTCTGAAGTTCCAGATCTATGCCAATAAGCTGATGAATCGAAAGTAAACATAACCCGGGCCATCGTTCGAATTCAAGCGCACGAATCCCGAAAGCTCCCAAAGGTCTCGAAAAATTTGGAAAATAATCCAGAAATGTCTCGAAATATGTAGTCCCGAAAAACTTGAAAAACCTTGAAATATTTCGAAAAATTAAACACGAGAAATGCTCAAAATTCTTGAAAAGTTTCGAGAAGTGTAAAGAAAAACCCGAAAAATCACAAGCCAATATTAATGTCAAAAAGAGCACATAACAATCGGTGTTTCTAGCTGAAAATAGTGAAAAACACTGAATAACCAGAAGTCCGGAAAACATCCCGAAATTTCCTAAAATATATGGAGAAATAGAACACCAAGACTAACCAAAAAAACGAAAAGTTCCGAAAAAATCAAATAAAAAGTCCCACGAAAAAAGCACGCCGAGCTCCGAAGAAGTCTTGAACTGTCTGAAAAACAAGACTCGCGAAAACATTAGAAAGTAATGGCCTTATTCATAAAAAATTAAGCCGGATTAAGAAGTTTAATAAACTGACGTTTTCATACAATTTTCAATTTATAAAACTCTTTTAAAGCTACTTTATTTTTTATGAATAAGGGCCGTTTTCTCAAGCATCTGCCCTTTAAACACACATTTTAAGAGCTATCAAGTTATTTTTAATTGCACTGCCTGAGATGAATGAATGACGGGATATCTTTCTCAAAATAATAAAAATAAAAGGCAGCTTATTTTAAAATGAAGGAGGAATCTCATAGTATCTTCGAAACGTAGCAGGGCAATTTTTCCACTATCCGCCGTTTTCACCAGCAATTTTCCCTTATGTAAATTTTTATATTAACTAACAAAAATATTTTTCCACTTAAATTGATTTCGTGAAACTGGCTATACATATGCACACGAGGGTGCATCACTCTCTAAAAAAAAAACAAAAAAAAAACGGTAGTGTTTTTCTATCGGAAATATAAAATTTATTATATTTTAAGACTTCCCCCAAAATTTGTCGGATCAATATTAAGATACCTTCAAAATCCACTAGTTTATAAATAAAATTAGTTCTCAAATTTGTTGTTTTTCTAAAAAATACTCTCAGATGATAGAGGAGTTTAAGCATACATTTTTTTTTTAAATGGTATCAACGAAGTGGAGGTATTTTAAAATCGGTATAGCTCACGTAAATCTTAATATTTTTCCGAAATATTTTGAAGCAAAGTCTAAAAATATAGTCGATTGTATAATTCCGTTGAAAACCCCGTAAATTTTTTGTGATGCTCCCTAATATACATACATGTTATTAGGGTGGGCATAGGAGTTCCGTTGGCAACCTTGAATAAACGGTCTCACAGTCGGCTCAGCGAGCGCTGGGCGAAAACCCCGACATGCATAGTTGCAAGGTCCTTCTGGCCGGTTGTTGAACGCAAGCGGTCAAGGGAGCTTCTGCAGCTGGATAAGCGAAAGCTTTCGATTCTTGTAGGTGTACTAACTGGGCATTGTCCTTTAGGGACCCATGCGGTGCGACTGAATATCGTCACGGATCTCTGCTGCGCAGTTGTCTGAAAAAACGAGGTAGAATCATCTCCGCGTTTCCATCTCAGCTGCCCGGCATACGCTAGTCTCAGGTATAAGCAACTCGGTGAGCATTTCATCAACGCTCCCGTAAAGCTCTCCGGGGTGGGCATCAGCTGTCTGCGGAACTTTGTTGTGAGCACCCAGCGCTTCTCTTTGTTTAACACAGTAGTTGCGTCCCCAACTTTTCTAGGTTAGAACCTGTAAAACTGTCAAAAAGCAAAAGAAGCCAGAGAACCGAGTACGGGAACGCTTTTTGGTAAATTCCTGTAAATTCTTACAACTTCTTGCGAGTTAGGGAACGCAACTAGTTACTGTTCGAAGAATTTGTGTAATGTGGTAGCACAGTGGACAATTAAATAATTTCTAAGTGAGTCCTCCTCCAGGGGTATGCCCCAATAACCTAACCTAACCTAACTAGTAATACAGACATAACAGAGAAAATATTATCTTGAAAAGTAAATAACGATTCCCAGGTGCTATAGACAATATCTCAAATGAATCAAATATGGACTAATCGAATAGAGTATTCAATTGCATTTCAGCGAGTAATAGTAGGTATGTACCTAGAGTGCAAGTCTTTAGTTAGCGATGATTGCATCTAACATAAGTTAAACTGTTGCCAGTCAGATGTACAAATTTTTCGTCATAAATGAAATAATGACATCTTCTTTGTGAAAATTCTCTTCTGTTTTTGTTCTTGGTTAATGATACATTCTCCCAGGTAGAGAATGTTTTTCCCAGCATTGACGTCGCGATTCCAGCAAGTACGGCATTTTTGACAAAACTGGTACCTGTGGGGCGATTTGGACGTCAGGTTTACGTTGTAACATTTTGCGCAAAGTTTGGTTGTTCTGAATTCATTAACCATTAGAATATCTGTATGCCGTTGTTTTAGTGCTGTGATTAGTAACCGATTTGGTGTACGCCTATATCCGCGCATTGGTGAGTTTGAAGCAATCTCTGTTGATCCGATGCAGATTAACGTTTTCTCTTCTTTGTTTGGTACCAGTTGTTGCGCAATTTGGTTGAAGGCTTTTTGTCGGCAAATGTATTTCTTCAGCTTCAGCCGAGCCACCTTTCTCTGCGAGAAATTTTTATGTTTTTGCTCCAGTATTTCAAGTTGAAATTTACAGTATTCACGGAAGTTCGATGAATTCGCAGACAATTCTGATTGTATCGGGAGATCTTTCGTATATTTATGTAGTTTTATTTTGCGAGAATAGAACATTGTTCTGGATGCCAGCTAAAATGAGCCGACACCCAGGATCTAGCCCAATCTTGTCGTCGTATTTTGTTGCGCGTATTTTTATTAGATTACCTTCACAATAATATAATAATATAATGACTACGGAATTTTGATGTAATACTGACAATAAACCTGATTTATGATATAATGACTACGGAATTTTGATGTAATCCTGACAAACCTGATTTATGATATAATGACGACGGAATTTTTATACAATCGCGAGTAAGACGGTAATACTGACCACAATCCTGATATATGTTATAAAACGTAATGTATGCGAAAAAACTTCAAGTTCTACGATAGTTCGTACCGGTCGAATCTTTTTGTGGAAAACGCGAATAAATTTCTGACTGTTCCATAACAATATTTGGATGCACGCATATACTCGGCTCAGGAAATATTTTAAATTTGAGCATGACAAAAAAAGTATACATATAGTTACGGTGACCATCCGTTCTGTTTTTTGCAGGACCGTACTGTTTTTCGAAGGTCGGTCCTGCGTAGTTTTTCAAACCTGAAAAACCTGAAAATGTACTGATTTTTTAAAGTGTCCTGCATTTGTCCCGCATTTTATTCGTTATTTTAAAATTATCGGACAATGGATGGATTTTTTCAAAAAAGTGTTTTTTGGTACTTTTCGTAGCTTTTCTTCAATATCTCATGAAAAAATCTCCAAATCAACGTAAGCGACTTACAGCTCGAAAGGTATTGATGTGCCTCTTCCCAAAATATATAACTTGTGGCGACTTCAATGAAAATTATTAGTGCTACAGGCGACCATTTGCATTTTGTCTTCAAAGTCGAAAAAAGTGAGATTTTCAATCAAATACGCAGTTTCATTTGATTTTTCTTTTCATTATTTTAAAAATTCGATAAAAAAGATATATCATTACAGTAAACTTTGAGCCAAAGATAATAAAAATCGGATTAGGAATGTAGATGCTATGGAGCGCAACCTGCACAAATTATATATTTTTGTAAAGGGCACTTTGTAACTCGTCGTTTACGTCGATTCATGACGTCGATTTTTGACAAATAATTGCGAAAAGTACCAAAAAAAACAAAAGAAGGGTATTGTTTTCGTTTTGAACGACTCAACATTTGCCTATATCTTTTAAAGATTTTCACTTTTCGTGTAAGCTATTGTAATTATAATATGTTTTACTATACTTTGATAAATATTCCTGTAAAAAAGATTAATATCCATGAAGAAAACGTGTTTCATTTTTAAAGTTTAATATGTATTAAGAATTTAGAATCATAAATACTCTTTTGATATTTTTATACTACGTAAATATATGTAGGCATATTTTTGAAAAATTTTCCTTCATTTTGAATCCATATTTATGGTCACCGTACATATAGTATACACTGAGCTACCTTTTCGATAAATATTTAAAATGTACTACACCTTGAAGAAAATTGCGCGAAACACCATAACTTTTGCAAATAAAATATCATCGTTTAATTTCGAAAATTTTTGCAAATAACAAGTAACTTTGGCGCTGAAAGGCTTATTACAGCCGATGAGGAAATTGCGTTACGTCTCTGCAATATGCTGCTGCCACTGAATGAATCAGAAGGGATAACACGCATCTATTCATGGGCATATGAGCAACGTAGCATGCTATGACATGGTAAATATCGAATATTTTCAATTTATATATGTACATATAATCAGATATAAAGTTTTAAATACCAATATTTTTTCAGTATTGAATAAATGAATATACTACATCGACAAGATTCAGGTAAAATTTGTGAATAAATAATAGAAAGTTTTGACAAAACTACATGTCCCAGGATACCGGTATAGGCATGACACGGGAAGAGCTTATACACAATTTGGGTATGATAGCCCGAAGTGACTCCAAAAAGTTTCTAGAGCAAGTGAAAGAAAAAGGTGGTGGTATGGAAAATTCATCGAATATTATTGGGCAATTCGGTGTTGGGTTCTATCTATTCTGCTTTTATGGTTGCTGACAAAGTGGAAGTATTTACGCGCTCTTCGAAGGTTAATTCACAGGGATTGAGGTGGGCATCTGATGGATCTGGTTCATATGAAATTCAAGACGCGGATGGCGTGGCCCATGGTACCAAAATTGTAATTCACTTAAAACCTGAATGCAGGCTATATGCAGATGAGGACCGCATTAGAGGTTGGCATTTTTATTGCTACAGAACAGCGCTTTAGTCAAGTAAGTGACAAAACCCACAGCTCTCATGGTATTTTGTTTATGGAAATAATTTTTTAACGCCTGCTAAATTGTCACCTTACAAGACACCGAGATATTTCTGCCCCTTATGTATGTACATGCTTACATCCATATGTATAATTGTATATTATTGCGCTAATCGTATTTTGTATTTCACTTTGCATTGTACTGCACTGCTATGCCGCCGAAATAAATAAAAACTTCCCATGACTTTCTTCTAATGATTATCTCCAACGATGCGCAAACAGCACGTTCAACGAGATTTTAACAAAAACTGCCGAATTTTCGGCTGATATTAAATGCCGCGAATAGGCTGATATCTTTGCATGCATTCCTGCAGACACATGTCTGCATTTTGTAAGTCGATCAGAGAGCAGGAAAGCAAAGAAAAAAAAAATCGACTTTTAAGTAAAAGAAACGGAAGCAAACGACGTAATTTTCACTCGCAATTTGTCCAGTGTTCAACACAGCAGCGACTGGCAGCGAAATGTTGACAATGATCACTTAAGTGGCCGCCAGTAAGCGGCGCTTATAGCTTGAGTCGTGAATTCTAGAGAGCCAGTTCGCGATAAACACTCGGACGATGCGCAACGGTAGCGAATATGCAATTTTGGAGGCGTTAATTTACCTAGTAGTGGTCTAATAAGAAAATAGAGGCAGTGTCATTGTCAAAGCTAATATGATTAAATAAAATTGCTTGCGTGAAAGTGTAGTAAATAAAAAGCTAAAACTAAAAAGAAATTTAAAAAAAATCTTACGAAAAAATTGCAAAAAATCAAACTAAAAAACAAACTTTGACGGCTGCTTAGCTAAAAAGTAAAACATCACTTCTAGGCTGTATTTAAAGTGTGCGGACGTCCTTGAAGTCGTAGAAACTATTACCACAAATAACAAAAAAAAAACAGGAAGCATTTAATCGCCGCTTTATAACACATAAAATTTCTACGATGACACTTTTAACCGCCGCATGCCATACTATCACAGTTGCGGTTTTATTTGCGGCTGTAAGCTCGAATTTGACGAGCTCTGTTGATGCTGCAGCAGAAATGGCTGAATTAAAGCGCGTTGATGCGACAAGAAAAGTTATGGAAAATGATACCGTGCTGTTGCCTTGTGACAATCATTGTACGTAGTGTATATACGTTTAATAAAAAAATATATATTTAAAATAATATTTTTAAAAGATAATAGTTTTACTAGAAATAAACTAAAGCTATGTACTGTAACAAAAATTATCCAAGGGTTATAGAAAATTTCTTGAAGACGAAAATGAGCTTATGAGAATAGGATTTTGTTATCCTTGTCAGTGCAGTGTTATTTAGCCCGTAAATTTGCGCTTAAATTATGTTAATTTAATTTCAATGCTTAGCCATTGCTAGATGAAAAGAGGATATTCTAGCAAACTGAAGAGAAGCGGAAGACGTACAGTTGTTGATTTTGTTTGTAAAAATTGATAATTTTGTTTTATGAAAATATGTTTCATGCTTTAACCAAAACCATTTTTCAAAATTCAACAAATTTTCATCAAAAATTTGGACTTTTTAACTTTAATCTTTTGAATATTTTTGCATTTAACTTTGTAAAATACTACCCAGTCCACCTTTAATTCATACACTTCACACTTTTAGTTCATACGATCTTGAAGTAGGTGGGCAGGGTAGTAATTTCAAATGTGATAAATTTTAAAATAAAGGTCGCTTATTCCATAATTTGACGGAACTTAAGGCTTTGTACCTTATTTAAGGACTAAGCGACTTCTATTTTAAAATGTATCACATTTGAGAGTATTTTAAGTAGGTAAGTATGCAAAAAAACTTTGGGGTTAGGCCACTTCTGCACTTACGGCCTATGATGTAAGCCTAAATTTCAGAATTTATACAAAATTTAGAAAAATCAACAAATTTTCATCAAAATTTCGAATTTATTATAAAATTTTAGTATAAGAAAGTTCAAGTTTAAATCGGCTAAAAAATCGCATTGATCTTTAATAATTTCTTTGTGCTGACGGCTTTTGTCAATTTTTTATATAACAAATGCAATTTATAAAAACTGGCGAATTTTATTTCATGAGAAATTCATGTTTCTATTGAAACAGCTCAAAAAATATTAAGATCAACGCGATTGAGAATCAAGCAGCCTGAAACTTGCATTAAAATTGTGTGAGCTATAAAACGGATTACCAAAAATTTTCTAAAAATTCAGATTAAAATGTTTAAAACTTTTATGAATCTTTTTGTTGATTATTCTAAATTTTATATAAAGTTCGAAATTTCGCCTTAATTGGTTTTGGTTAGAACATGAATTATAATTTTATAAAAATTAAAAAAAAGTGTAGGTAACTTGCAAAAATTGTTTTAACTTTTTTAAAGCCTAGCAAGAGTTTAGTGTACTTTTGGCCCTGAAAGTTTCAAAAAAAAAATCCGAAGAAGTATGCAAATAAATCTCGAAATGTCCGAAAAAGTGATGAAAGATCAAAAAAAAAACAATACAATGTGGGGAATCTTGAAAAGTGCAAGTTTAATAAAAACTCGAAAAACCCCAAAAAAATTGAAAAAATTCCGTAAGTGCCTGAAAAATTCCGAATGGTTAAAAACGAAAAATTTGGAAGGGTACTAAAAAATCCTAACTGGTTCCGAAAATAAGCTGAAATATTCTGAATAACTCCGGAAAAATCACGTCCCAAAAATTTAAACATGAAGAACCACGAAAAAGTCCAGAGCGGTCGCGGAAAAATCCCGAAAAGTAATAGACTAAGAATCTCACAAAAATTTATCTATACTCCCAAAATTCCCTGAAAAGTTAAGTTTGAAGCTCCGAAAAAATTTTGAGCAGTTGCGAAAGTCTCGAAAAATCTCGAAAAAAAATCACAAAATACTAAGAATTGTGAAAAGTACCGAAAATATTGACAAAAAAAGAAAACACGAAGGACCTTCCCCAAATCTTGGAAATTAAGACGAAAAAAACTCGAAAAAAACCCGAAAAGTAAAAGACGCAGAATTTTAAAAAGTGCGAAAAAGATCCTCGACAAATTGCGAAGCATTTGATTTTATTATCAATGCATAGAAACATAACTTCTAATGATAGAAACAAATATCAAATAATTTTTAAGCAAAAAACCAAACCGGCTACAATTCTCATATACAAATTTAAGAGTACCATAAATTTCTTCATGATCCAAAGATCTAAACCAAATTAGTATGGGGCCACTGAGGTACCACCTTTCCTTTAACACAAGAATTATAGAAATCGGTTAAGGTAGTCCAAAGTAGTACGGTACATAAAAAAAAATATTCCTATTTTTTTGAAGTCGGTTAAAAATAAGAAAATTTGTTCACTATGCCTTTTTTTTCAAAATCCAAAAACCACTTTTATTAACAATCTCTGAAACTAAAAATTATTCAGTGATTTGAAAACGAAAATAAATCGAAGCGATTTTCAAAATATTTAGTTTTGAAAGTAATAAATATTTAAAATGAAAACTGAGAAGACTGCATTATTTACGTTATACTTTTAAACATCGATTTAACGACAAATTTTTGACTTGAAAATAAAATTTTTCTGAAACAACTTTATAAATAAATACCGATTTCAAAAGGCGCGATTTTCCGATTACGCCAAAGATGATTGATATTTTAGACGAAAAAAATTAAAATACGAATTTTTCTACTTAGGACTGTTTTTGTCTTGGAAATATTTTTTCAAAAGCGTTCACAGATCCTAGTGGAAGATCACTTTTTGGAATCTGTTTGTTTATTAAGCTCACACATACACAGTTAGCTAGTCTAGCTGGAGAGTTAAAAGGAAGCGTTTCAAGGACGGTCGATTCCAGTAGTAATCAAAACGGCGCTGATTAATTTCTGGTGAAGAACTATCACCTCAGTGGTAACACCTAGAAACTTTTTTGTAGAATAAACTTATAATGAAACTACTATTCTGAGTAAAGAGTCACACAGCTCACTAATTCCCTACACAAATTAGTTACATTTCAGTACGTTCGCTGGTTCAAAGAGAATCAATCGCTCGTAGATTCACGTGACAGCAATGAGACGCCAACACCCGAACGAATACGACTTTGGTCAAATGGTAGTTTACAAATTTCACAACTCCAACCTTCGGATACTGGCGACTATAGCTGCGCTCTCAAAACCGACAATGACACAGAAGTTACGAAAACGCATTCCATAACTGTGCAATTCCCGCCAACAGTGCAGACAGAGCCAGAAGGAAATATTGAACTCCCGATTGGCGCAGTTTTTCAGGTGATGTGCGAAGCCAGAGGTGTGCCACAACCCAAATTATACTGGCGTTGGAATGGCAAATTGGTGGATAATCAACTAATTGGTAATCGTTTGAGTATACAAATTGAAGTGGGTTCGCGTGAACAATCTGGACCGATTGAGTGTGTGGCCAATAACAGCATAGGCGATATAGCGGTGGCAGGCATGTTCTTGAAAGTACAGTGTAAGTAAGAAAAGTGGTTGGTGAGAGCCATGGTGGAATTATTGCGCCATGGTTGAGAGCATACGAATATGTGGAGAAAATAAATATTTCACAACTTTTCAGTTCCGCCGGAAGTGCGTGTCGTGCAACATGTTGTCTACACCAAGGTTGGTTCACGAAGCGATTTGGAATGCCTTATCGAGGCAGTGCCCCGTGCTAGTGTAAATTGGTACCATCATGGCGTACCAATGACCTATGACTCAAGAATAAGCCGTTACGAAACCGAAATGCAACCAAATGGTTCCAATTTACAATTCAACACAGTTATAAAGCATACGCTGTCTATAAAAAATGTGCGTGACTCAGATCTCGGGCTATACGAGTGTCGTGCGGAAAATAAATTGGGCTTCAAAAGCGCGGCTATTGACTTCACAGGACGTCCAATGCCATGTGTTTTCAAAATCAATCCAGGGGTACAGAGTTCAACCTCACACATTTTGGTGTGGCAAACTGAGAGTTTATCACCGCTAATGGAATTTAAGTTGAAATTTCGACAAATACCATCAGGTAACATTTTAGAAAGAAAAACATTTGTTACATGCACATCTCATTAGCGAAACTTACAGCAAGCATAACACCACAAACTTTGGACATTGATTTCAAAACCGATTGGACGGTATTGACCATACCATCAGAGCTATCGGCCGGTATTATTTTTATACTAAATTTAAGTTAATATACATAAATATTGCTTTTATGTGCCCTCTAGGTCCCATTCACATTACTACATACACCTTACATGGTCTACAACCAGCTAGTGTCTACGAAGTGGTAGTATACGCCCGCAATCACTTTGGTTGGAGTGAGAGCAGCAAAATAGTAAGATTTGCAACGGGCGGAGAAGGTATTAATATCAATTCGTAAATTAGTATACAATTTTACAACTTATTTCTTTTCATTTGTTCAGTTGAACTGCCGAATTATTCAACTGAAGCCGAGTTGTATAGCAATGAGGACTTGTCGTCTGTAGAGAGCGAGGAAGATCGTACAAAGGAGGACTCGGTAATTTTGAATGAAGTTTATGATAGAAATACTGTTACGTCTGCGTCTTCCAACCGATGGTGTTTTTTGAATTTGGCGAGTCTTGTAGTGTTAACAACTTTAAAGCAAACATTGATATGATAATAAATACATATCTGTGAAAAAATTAAATTAATTAAACAATTTGTAAAGCTTTTAATTAGAAACTCTCACGATTTCTAGTTAATAAACCAAACGGAAAATCAACATCATTATGGCAAACTGAGCAAATAAGGAAACATTGGATTTTATTAACTATAGTACAAAGTTACTGTATACCAATACCTATACTGTGTACCAATATACTGTACTATATACTATAACGATTAATTTATACTATATGTGTAAATATATAAATTACCTTCCAAGCCACTGGCTGGATTTAAAATCATATGACAGAGACCGTGTTATTCAAAGTAATGATAGCTTTGAATTTCATAAGCGCACTACAAAGTAAATACAGCAACACTAAAAAACTAGTTTATGCACACAAAATTAAAATTTTTTCTTAAATTCATGATTTGCTTAAACGCACAAAAATTTAAATTAAGCACAGCCGATTTAAACGGAAACGCCTGACCGATTACAATTGTCAAAACCTGCCGACTACATAGAGATGCGCACGATAGAAGCATTAATCGATAAATTTTTCAGTTATTTGAAATGCGGCAACTATGAATATATACATACATAATGGCTGCATTTCTTTATTCATTCTGAACGTTTGGATACAATTTTTTGTTTACTTATTCTTTAGAACGTTCCTGATGATATGTTAACATATACATATTTCAAACGCATTCTTTTTATTCCGGCTGTGAAATGGGATTATCCGGAATGTATAAAGATACGCAGCCAATATGTAGACAAAAATCATTGCTTGCGAACACGTACAACATACATATCGTCGCTACCTTGTCAAACTATCGAATGTGAAAATCGGTACTTTTCAGGAGAACAAAGAAACTGTTGTAAAACATATTGCTGTCATTAGGAAAAAGTGTGGGATCCAACACTTTGTTAAAACCAGTATCCTCTGCTTCTAACTGCCGTACCTAAAAAAAAGCGTTGGTAGAGCGTTTTCAGACGCCTAGCGTTAACGCCGAAGTATCATACCTAAACAAAAGCGTCAACGCTACGTCAACGGCAGATATAACACCAACAATAAGCAAGGGTTTTTTTGTGTATAACGAAAATGACAGTTTCGCCGTTTTCTGCAGCCAACTTCAAAACCTAACGTCCTATCAAAATCCGATTTTCCAACTGCTCAGCATTGACGCCGCGTTGTTTCGATATGCTTCATACAAATTGTACCTGCATGAGAATTATTTGATAGCCAGGCAACACTGACGCTTTTATTTAAGTAAAAGCTTTAAATTTGCCAAGGTTTATAAGTTTCTGGCGTTCACACCACTCATAAACAAAAACAAAGAACTAAAACGAATTGTGTGTGCCTAATGTGTTTCTTGGTGTTAAAGGCTCTGTTATGCATACTTGGCATTGCATGCACTGCTATACCATT